ATTTTTGGGTCGCTCACGCAGTGACTTGTTCGACTGAATTCGGTCATCGTCGTGGCCCATCTTAAACCGCAAGTACACCGCCCAGGCAAACTCTGGACATCGAAAATGAGTCGTTCCGAAAAGTTAGGGGCTTGCCCCAGTGCGGGCCTGGGGGCGTGTGGAAATTTTCTTTTGTCCTGCACGGCGCCAGTGCCCACCCTAAGGCGACCCGGGATAAAAAAATAATAACTTCGCCCGCCCCCAGGCACGCCCTGGGGCGAGTCCCCTAACGTTTCCAAATGACTCATGTTCGACATCAAAAGTTTTTTGCCTGGGCGGTGTTCTTGTGGTCTAACCCCGGTTGCGGTTGAGCATCAACGATTAGCCCACCACAACTAATACTTCTCTGAGGGGCGGCGACACCCAACCACTGGCCACATACATCAAGGGTAGCTGTGCTGAAGACCAAAAGCAGAGATCACTCACCCACACCAGACGGAAGACTCTACAGATTGCAGAATTCACACCTTATCATAAGCCAGCAAAACACCCACGGAACAAAGAAAGGTCTGTCACAGCCAGAAAATAAACTCCAGACACGCCGCTGGCACTAGAGGCACAGAATGGCTGCGTAGTGACGGCCCCAACCACTGCCATTCAACCTGACCACAGAAAACCGTAGCAGGGAGCCAGCGAAGTATAGCATATATCGCCATAGAGAACTGCCTGGCTAGAAAGTAGAAAACAAAAAAAAACAAGTATTGTATACTGGATCTTGTTCTGTGCTTCTCGGCGATAAGCAGGCAGACTGATGCTCCCCAGAATAGACGGGGCCTTGTTTCGATACATAAATCAATCAAAAGAAAGGAAGCACTGCCAACGTAGAGGCCAGCGATGAAGAAAGAGGCACCCAACTCAGCAGTCATACCATCATTGTTCTTGTGGAAAGTCAGCTTAATCAGATCCTTGACCTCCAACAGACGACCAGTCACAGGATGTTTATGAAATTTGCGAAGGTAGGGGACCACATTCCTGCAAGAACCAAACAAAAAAGGAAGCAGATCTATAAATCTGGTTTCTGGTTCCTTCGTTCTTTTCTTTTCTTTTGCGTTTGTAAAAACACCGAGAACATAAATCTCAGAAAAAAAGAGTCGTCACCACTTTGCTCTTTGCACTCTTTCCATCTCATTCACATGATCACATATCCTCTTTCCACAATATTCTCCCTCCCCCCACCTCCCGCACTCCAAACAGAATTGACCGTGAAGGTCTGATCGCGAAGGTGAGTAACCCCACCCAGAAGCGACTTCGGCAGAGCTTTTCCCTTGGAGAGAAGAAGGGAGAGGGGGAGGGGGAGGGCAAGGAGATGAAAGGGAGGAAGAGAACCACAAGGAGAATCCTGGATAGAGACACAAGAAGAAGAAGAAGAAGAAGAAGAAGAAGAAGAAGAAGAAGAAGAAGAAGAAGAAGAGTGAGGGTCGACAGGAGAAGGGATTCATTGTGCTTGTGTTTCAATTTTCCAAAGGTCCAGCTTCAACTGACAAAGATCTTGTTTTCCCGCCTTTGTTGATTCGGACTTTATATATGCATCGCACTCAGGATACACCACAAGCAGCAAGATTCACTTGATATGATCACACTCAGAACTTGCTCTCGGACTCCTATTGTCTCTCTCTGACACACACAAACTGTGTGTGAAACAGGGCTGGTCCCCGGATGGACCGGGGACCCCTACCCCATCTGCGGTCCTCCCGGTTGGACCGGCCGGTGGCCCGGGCCGGTTCCCTCCCGGTTGCCCCCAGCGCACTTTCGCTGGGGCCTGAATTTTTTTTTTGGCCAGCGCGTATGTGTTCCCGAGGCCTCGTGGGGGYGGGCCCTGCCCCRCAATTTCRAAACCGGKTCCTGTAGGCCCGGATTTTTCAAGTCCAAAAAGTGGCCAATCTTGGCCGCCAATCGTCGCAGATCAGCGGCAAAGATCGGCCAGGGGCCCATTTCTTAAGAAAAACGGGCAGAGGGTATCAGCCGCTGATCTTTGCAGATCAGCAGCGGAGAATAGCCACACATTTTTCTTAAGATGTGGGTCGGATAGGCCCCTTCTCCRATTTGTCATCTTGTGGTCCAACGGACCAGTTACCATTGGCAACATCTAATGCTCTTTCACCCTCAGCCACGAGGGGAACACTACGCTTGTGATGAGTCTCTGCTGAGATTATATCYTTCTGCGACGTCCCTGCCATCTGTGGAAAAMKTTATCGGTTCGKATTTTGGAATCGTGACGTCAGAGTCATCCGAGGTGCAAGCCCAAGAATGGACCTAAGCTATATTCTTCTCTCTATCTATCTCGAATGGACCTTGCTCCACTACATGTATCTGGGCAGACTGCAGACAAGATACTTCCGGACTGATAACTCGCCGGAACCGCTCTGCCTCCACGAGCTGAAAGCTGGAACCATAACTCTTCTGCTGTCGAGTTATACTCTGGAAGAGCTATAACTTCGGGCAAGGACCTCCTCTCATCATATCTGGTTCAGCTCGTGGGGTATCAATATCAAATGACACACCACGAAGTGCTCCAGCCAYGGGGGGTTCGGATAAGTGAACTTGCTTACTTGACCCCTCCCCGTGGAAGCCATAGTTGCCTGAATATGTCAATAATAACCCCCTGCCCCCTTCTGGAAGCCCCCTGAAAAATATTGCACCTTGAAAATTTCATTGCGGATTTCGGCAGCTCTTGAAGAGCGCAGTCAGAATCTGCCGGGAAAAAAAAAAAGAAAAAAAAAAAAATCTGGGCACTTTTTTTTCGGTTCACCCCCTTGGGCTGGTCCGGCTCCAGTTGGACCGGGGTAGCTCAACCGGCCGGTTGTCGGCCCAGCACTGGTGCGAAATATGTTGTGTGTGTGTGAGAGAAAGAGGAAGGTGGGGGGGGGCGCAGGAGTCGTCAGGACGGAGATATGGTTGACTTTGAACATGCAGTTGCAGGCTTGTAAGCCTTGGAAGGTGGCGTCGTCAACTTAGCCTCGTGTGAACCGGTGGTTTGATTCTATTCATCACACTTTTTGTACAAGCACCCATCCTACCAAACATTCCTCCACAGGCCACAGGCCAACAATATTGCAGTTTCAGAGAGCATTCACCGTCCTCCGCACCGACCTCCTCCCTCTTGATGTCCGACCCCCGCCCCCCCCCCCCCCCCCCCCCCCCCCATGTCCGACTCCCCTTCCTCCCCCTGCCCTTCACCACCACCTCCCTCCTTCCCTCCCTCCCTCCCCTGGACACTTACAGGAAAGGCAAGTCTGCAAGGCAAAAAAAACAGGAACATGCAAATGACATTCCCAATCATCATTGATTCATCACGGTAAAAGATGGGTATCAGGAGGTACTCGCACTAGGACTTTTGCGACTGAGCTCTGGACATAATTGAGGTCAGATGCGTCCAGCTCCGGCCGTAATTGTGGTCAGATACATTTCAAAAAGTGCTAGTGTGACTATGCTATCATACATAGAACACATGTGTATGCTGATCATCCAGCCACTGTCAGCTCTAAAAGTGAAAACAGCGCTACCCCAAATTTGACAATCTACTTGTCTACTGGCTGGATTGTACACACCAAGAACTACTGACCCAGCAGGTTGAGGAGGAGGAGGAGGAGGTAACGTACAAGATGTCGAAAACATGGCCATCCGCTGTACAGACTGGGTCTTCAAATGGAGTGAATGACACCCTGCGAAGAGGACAAGAACATCAACATTAGCTCACATTAATTAATTAGCTCACTGGATGGCARCACTGCAGTGCATTGWATCTGGTCTTGCATATTATATATTAATTAATCAGTCATMGGCATCTCAGAAACACAGSGGAGCAKCGGGTTGCAGCATAAGGATTGAGAGTTTGCATGATCAATCAACAACACASAAGAAACGGAAGRAGTACGTTTACTACAACCATGAAGAAAATACACCCAAGAAACTAGATTCGAGAAACAGGAGCGAAACTACACCCCAAGAAACGACACCCAAGAAACAWGATGCRAACTACACCCAGTAAACAAAATCAGATATGTAAGCAAATTATTAAATTAATGATTAATCTGGTATTACTTTACACTTAAGTCATATGGGAAGTGCTTCACTAGACTGTGACACACCAACCTCACGCMAGGCGCGACTTTCTGATCARTGTGAGTAGGCCCAGAAAGGTGGCRAAATAGGGGTGYGCCAATAATTTTYGGGGAAGGGSGGTGGAGTCTCAGGTCGGAACTGAGATCTCCTTATGTCAGGTTCCACAGGAGGGAATTGAGATGAAGGAGGTGCAATGGTGAAGGGTGATGGACCACGGGGAAGGAGAGCCCAGAAGAGATCATCAATATCAAATTTATTTAAGTAGGAGTGCGGAAATGTATTTGATTCAAAAAGGGGAAACCTCGTTCATGCGGTTTCCTACAGTGGGCGAAAGGGTGTGACTCTGCCACATGTTGCCTACGTGGCTCCCACGGCTCGGCATCCGAGGTGGATGCCCTCAATTGAGAGCGCTGAACCCGCTAATCCTCTTCAGTGTGTGTCACGTAAGCGAAGCCTCAACGACAGTATCGATCAGTGCCTTTGACACTCGGAACATAGAGTCCGTGGCCAGTACAGAGTGATGGTGGCCCATAGAATGACAGTCAGCTCGCGGTAAGGCAAGAGCAGCGAGTATGGAGGGAATGGAGTCTCAACATTCATTAAAACTGACCCAACGAACCCGGGACATGCACTCTCATCAGGAAGAAGATAAGGTTTCTAAATCTTCGCTGCTGCTCCCATTACGTTCCACTCACCGACTTGTTGTCTCTAAGTGCCGTACAGGAAGGGCAGTGGGTTACACCCAAGATGGGGAGATGCAAGAGGGAGAGATGAGAAGTAGGCGACAGGAGGTGTTGTGAGTACTCTAGCATTGCAATCAATCAAGCATGAATTCATTCATTCAKGAAAGCAAGAAAYCGATCACTCAACCATGTGGGCATGTCCAACCAACCATTCACACACAAGCATCCATTCGCCACGCATTGGCACTCCTTYGACCATGCACGAGATGCCTGTGGAATCTGTGCTCCAAGATAGCAGAAGRAGAACAGGGGAAGCACGCTACCCCYGTYTCTTCTTCGCCAAAGAAAATTAGCTYGGCCACCAAATACCGGAATCGCCAAGTTCCACACCAACAGTYCGTTGCCCTGCATGGAGACTTGCTCATGCACCYGCTAYCATCACCCCGCTTAGCCCAACMAGCAAGCCAGGTGCGCACGAGCTCCTGCAGTCCGTCGCGGCCCGCTCATCAAGCCCACATGATCGCCATCAGCCCRTCAGGACTGTTCVATCCAGCAACCACCTTACAGAACAAGCTAGCTAGCCCTGATGATCGCTCTAACTTCAGTGAGAACAGAGAGAGACAATTGTGCTTGCAAGATCTACATCATCATAGGTGATAATGTGCATGCAGGAATGAATGAGAGTGTGCATGCAGGAACGAAGGAGAGTGTGCATGCAGGAACGAAGGAGAGTGTGCATGCAGGAACGAAGGAGAGTGTGCATGCAGGAACGAGGGCAAGTGTGCAGAGAAGGAGGGAGTGCCTTGAGGGTTGCATGATCGGACAGCGGTGTGGTGGACAGCCTCACTCCATGCACTGATCCAGCATGCATTGCATCAGAAAACGAGGGAAAGAAGGGAGAGAAGGGAGGGAAGAAGGCAAGGAAAGGGAAGAACGCAAGGAAAGGGTCGATGGGAATTTCAAGAAAGGAAGAAGCGAGGGACACAGTGACAGTCGAGATTTTCTGGCGGGAAATGCGTGCAGCAGGAAGAGAAAGGATTGAGGAGCAGGGCAAGAAAGAAATCTGCGCAACAAATCACACACGCCAAAAGAGCAACAACGCTAGCAGGATGGTGCAGGCGAGAAAAAGGGAGAGTCGAAGCACCAGAAAGTGGAAGGTGCCTCTGTTCCTACACGCATGTCACACTTGGACTAATTCTATGTAGCCAGTGTCCGTTGCCCAGACACCTGGCCCAGACATCTGTACCGGACATCCAGGATATCAGTTGTCCAGGATCCCGTACGTCCCATTTTTGACGAATTTTGAGGGGCCACGTGTCTCCCGAACACGGGGCACAGTCTCCGCTTGCTGCCAGGACCCCCAGGAAAAGAACTGGGTCCATTGGAGATAAAAACAAGGAAAAAGACATCGGGCTGCAGAAGCTGCAGCAGCGGCTGCTGTAAGGACTGCTGCAGCAGCAGTTGCTACAGGCACTGCTCTGGCAGCTGTTGCTACAGGCACTGCTCTGGCAGCTGTTGCTGCAGGGCTCACATGCTGTTTGGAGCGAAGTGTGCAAGAATTGCTACGTCGGTGTAGTGCATCCGTGTGGTGTTGTGTGTGGTGTGTTGAGTGGAACACTACAGCCTTGCAGAGGTGGGGTGGATATCACGGCCTGTACGGTTCCACTTTTGAACACCGTGTCCTGGCTGTAAAGGTTAAGGGACTTGGCTCTCGAGACCGAGCTCGCCGGTCGAATCCGTGCTTGCACGGAGGAGGGCCTTGGGCCCAGATGTACAGATCTATAACTACTGCTACAGCAGCAGTTGCTGCAGGCACTTCTGCAGCAGCAGCGGTTGCTGCAGACACCTCTGCAGCAGCAGCTGCAACTGCTGATGTAGCAGCGGTTTCTGCAGGCACAGCTGCAGCATCAGTTGCAACCGCTTGCTATAGAGGTAAAACTGCTTTATTGTTGACTTGGTTCATCTCAAGTGTGCTTCACTGTAAAGCTGCTTCGATTTTAGATCTACTCATCTGGGTGGAACAGAGGCTGTTGAGGTGAGAATCTACACCACACACACACACACACAGACACACACACACACCTCAGAGGGTCTAAAGGGGTCAGAATTCAGCGGCCCCTTGCCCTCAGTAAGAACTGGCTACAGCCTACAGGTAAAATATGTGACCCCCACCTTGAGGGGTTTGGAATGAATCTCCGACAGTCTGAGAAGGGTTTGACCTCTCATCATGCCAAGATGCTCCCCTTCTCACCGAATCCAATCCAACCCTGCTCTCCTGCCCCCTCCTTCTCCCCCCCCCCCCCCTCCTCTTATCACCCCTCTTTTTTCTCTCTTGTGCATTGGCTATGTAGAAAGGGAGGGCAACTGGAGGTACAATACCCCTACCCCCTGCCTTCTCCCGCAAACTACACGGTACCCTTTTACCAAACAGGGTTGATTGCAGGCATCCCTCGTTAGTTTTAGCTTATTTTCCAAAGTACCCCTGTGGGAAGCATCTGGATGGATGACTACCGTCTTCACCCGAATAGAACGCCCGGTCATTATCACTGCATCTAGACTTCCATTTCGACCAAATACAGCTATAATGACCGGGCGCTCTATTCGGGTGAAGACGGTAGCTTCTTCCCCCAAGTACAACGCACGGTCATTATAGCAGTATTTGGGGTATCTTTCAGTCTAAGTACAGCTATAGTGACCATTCGTTGTATTCGGGGGAAGAAGGTGAATGTCAGGGTAACAATAACTTGCAGGGTGTTAACCTCCCTATCGAGGAGCGGTCACACAGAGGCATCTCCGCAAGTAAGCCCGTCTAAAACCACAAAAGAAGAACCAACAAAATCAATAGGGTATCTACACCTTCCTTTCCAAACAAAGAGAACCAGCAAAACATTCTTTCCTTTTCCTCTTTCTTTTCTTCTCTTTTTTTTTTKGAGTTGTGGTTCAGAAGACAGGAAACCTTACCCGCAGCAGTAGAAGGGTAGACGTTTGAAGATTGCTCGATTCTCACGGTCTTTGGCACCCCCCCACTCCTTCGCCCACTCTGTACTCGTTATAAACATACGATCTTTGCTATGCTGTTTCTTCCCCATTGCTTGTGAAAACCCCCCACCAGCTCCAGAGTCTTTCACACCGCAGCAACCAAAGCCCTAATGCTTCTCGCAGATATGCAGACACGGCAAGGAAACTTCGTCCCGCTTTCCTTGCTCCTTTCCTGATCTATCCGCAACACACACACACACACACACACACACACACACACACACACACACACACACACACACAAACGTCCAACACATACACATGACACACAGAAACAGGCGCACAAGCAACCACACACACACACAAATCCAAACACAGACACACCAGCGTAACGATGAGACTAACACGCATGCACACACACGCCGACAATTTACGGAGTTTCCAGCTCATGATGTTTCAGTTATGAAGGAGAACGGACTGGAAGTGAAGAACCTTGAGATAGCAAAAGTACAGAGAGCGGAGCGGAAAAAGGGGAGAAGAGAGACACCGAGTGAGCGACAAAGGATAGAGGAGCGTGGTGGCTCAGGAGATGACGAGAAGAACATATAAATTGAACTTGAACGTCCTTTATTTGTTCTATCCATGTTTATACACTTGCGCAATTAGGTGACCGGCCAGTACAGACATGGATGATAACCATTCACTGCGTTTTCTATGTGCTTGCTGCCTTTGTCTGATTGTTGTTGCTATCCGGCACGCATGCTTCATGTATGATCTTTTCAGGTTTTTGGAAAATATGACGCTAAAACGGCGGCTAAACCATATACATCTTTGCCGGGAATCTCGCACCCAAAGTGACACAGATTCAGTGTTGTTATCCTTTTCGTGTTTTTTATTTTCTTTGGGATTGATTTTTGCCTTGCTCCTGCTGCGATTCTTTTGCCTTTGTTTTGCTTGTCCCTT